CGCATGTTTTTTTTCGCACGAAATCATGTGATAAGGCAATTGCATGAAAATCATGCAAGCCACCTTTCCCTGTGTATAAGTTGTGGACAATGTTTTCTTTTCGAATATTTATCCAAATCTCCGTGCACAAGACATGACACCTGGCCCCTGTGACCATGGTTTTCACCAAGGAGATATGCAGATTCCTTGGATTCTTTTGTAACAAAATCCGTCCAAGTCTTCCAGGCTTGAGGTTGATACATCAACAACACTTTTCCTCACACTCCCACACCAGACAAATTTCCCCTCTACACTGAACTCATCAAGTCCCTGTGGAGAGCGGCCAAGTACTCCAAGCAGATTTCAGCAACACATTTTCACGGTGTTTGTTAATGTGTTGAAAATTTCAAGACATTCAGAAGTTGTATTACTAGTTTAAAAAACATTTCGTATTTTAAAAGGTGATGACAATAGCAGACAGGAATGAAGGAATGTATTACAAATTGACAGAAACGAATTTGGAAAAATCTTAAGATTTTTTTTAATGTAATAAGCAGAAAATTCAATGTTTTCAAGTTAAATATGGAATTTATTTCATTATTTATTTATTCCGATTTACGCCAAAGAATTTTTGTCGCTTTTATAGGTATTTTTCGTGTCTTTTATACTCTCTTCAGCTTTGAAAATAGTTTTAAATGGTATTTAATAATTAATCACACATTCAACTTCAATTCCTTGTCATCTACGTACCTCTCAAGGCTAACAAATGGCTGTTTGTGGTTACGGACGTCAGGATGGAACTCTTTTAAACTGACATTACAAAATTATATACAGGACTGTTTCGGATCGTTAAAAGGTAAACAAAGTATCAAATATAAGGGTTAAATATATGAATTTTATACGATACTATTCTAAAAGCCAGAGAAAGCTAAAACTACACGAAATTAATACCTAAAGTAGCGACGAGAAATCGTCGGCGTAAATCGAAGGTTTTTAAAACGCTTGGATCTGTAGCTCTCTGATTTATCTGTCCGAATTTTCTCAAGCAGAGAGCTATAGTTCTGCAGCTAGTTTTATTATATACGTTTTTAACCTGACCCCCCCTCTTGATCCGCGTATGGGCCTTATAGGTCACCTGAGTATCATGTAACAACTTTCCAGCGATTGTATTTGATTTGTGTTTTAATCCAAATGCCATGAAATTCACAATTTTTGAAGGAGGCAGACTACTTATCAAAGGGCAGATTTCAAAGCATTAATTTATTTTCAGTCAAAGCACCCCCCTGGTACCCCTGACCCAGCGGCCCTGAAATTATCAATTTTGAAAGAGACCCCTTTCTTCATTATAAGGCCAGCATTTTTTACGTTTAGTTATGAACATGAGAATAAAAAAGCCCCGAAGGAGAAGGGAATAAAATGTTTTTTGATATATTAATTATTAACATTTGTACATTTTTAACGCTATTAAAAGGGCATGTCCACAACTTTAGTGTGACGACATTTATAGTGACACTACATTTAAATGATTTATATTTATATAATTTATTTATAAAAAAAATATAGACCGATGTGAAGGAATTCTCATTTGTCTGCTTGCATAAATATTGGAAATTCTAAATCAATGGGACCTTTTCTGTTGTGTTGCCACCATGGTAGAGCTGATTGGCAAAACAACAGAAAGGGGATCCAGATAGAAAGATTAGTGGCAGATGATGACACCACTGTGATGTCAAGAGTTCTTGACATAGGTTCCAACATCCAAAAGTTGTCAGACAAGAACCATATCAAGTAAAACATTTCGAATTCGTTGTATAATCTTCAAAAAGAACATAGATTTCTGTCTTGAAGTGTCTTCAAAAGTAATCAGATATCTACTAAAATGTTTCAATTACATGTTTTCTCAAAATCAAGGAAACCATGAAGGTGTAGAAAAAAAGTCTATCAGCATTGTCCTTGCACCCATATAAAACATAAAATATAGGGAACTTGGGATTTCAAGAGACTGAAGAGGGAATGATGAACGGGGATGGGTGGGGGTTATTTTAGGGTCTGTTTCGTCATCAGAATGAATGAGGTCAGAGTCAGTCTTTGTGCTTGGACGAGTTGATTTCCTCCGGAGGTGGGTGAAAGACGACTGGCCTTCTGTGTAGTTCTTTCATAAATCAGTATATCATAATGTTATTTTATAATCTAAGCGATATTCGTAGAGACTAAAATTTATAGTCCGGTCTCTAAAAAATAATATTATTCGCCAAACAATATATTTTGGCAAAAGGGTAGTACCACAGTTAAAGCGGCACAGTGAGTCAAAATCATATCGTAATTTTAAGATATCTGTAGCATACAGAGAAAGACTTTTGAAATTATGAGTATTTAGCGAATATATGACAATTAAACTGCAAGAATTGACTGCAAAATATAAGTGCCGGAAAAATAAAGGTTGTATCTACCGTTTCGTTGTTTCGGGTTATGTCAAGGTCACGCAACTCTTATTTTTAGCTCAAACTTGTAAACAACATTCAACTGGAGCATGCAAAGGTGAGAAATATGTTCTAAAAACTTTTTAGAAAAGATTGGATCAAATTTTTTGGTCTTCTTACATTCATTCGTGGATAACTGAGACCATGGTAACTATGGAAACTTATTCAACACTTTTCTGCGCACGCGTACTATAGGGAGGAAGAAGTACCAGGGTATTTTGCAATATTTTCGTTTTGGGGCAGACAGAAAGTATTTTTACTTTTATTTTTCCCCATAAAAATATCATTTTTAGGTTCTGAAACATGTAATTTTCTGAAACTGAATACTTTTAGGAATTGAACAAAATTTACAGAGGTCATGCAAAAATTCTACATTTGTCAATTTTCCCCTTTGTGCGTCACAGTGCCGCTTTAACATGATAAAAAGAATCGTAGATGTCGGTCCAGTTCCTTTGAGGTCATAAAGTGTGTGTAACACGTGAGCTTGCATAGAAATCGACGATGAAATATATTTATATAATATATATATCATTTATGACAGTAAATAATTTTATGCTGACGAATGATTTAATATTGCAAGTTGTGTTCATATTTGTGTTATGTTCAACATATATATTGTTTATATAGTAAGTTAGTTGTAACTGTAAACCCTTATAAGGACCTATGCAATTTTACCCCACTGGGAGCCTCAGGTTCAATGCTGCAATATGATTGGTTGAGAGTTAGCGTCGCTTTATAAAGTTTGTAAGACAGTAGCCATTTTTTGTGAGGAGGCTGAGAAAAAGTTTTTAAAAAAGATTTAACCAGTGTTTACGGGGGAATCCCGAAATAATAGCTAGAGGATCCATCCGTTGTTGAAAGGTAAAGAACATTCACTTGTATCTACGAGTTCGCCACACGATTTCAAGCTAGGTACCTAGTACTAAAAGTTCGTGTTTACTAACGATGTGCGTGTAGGTGCATAGTGTAATAAGTACGCCAAAACATTATGCGTGAGAAAGTATTGATCATCGGTCACAGTTTTATTGGAAGATTAAAGTGTATTTTGGGGCGATCTGAGGACATAAAGCGAAATTTTGGTCTTGATCTGGAGCAATGTGTTGTGAAGCTGTGCGGTCTCAGCGGGGGCACGCTAGACATATTTCAAAGGGACGCTAACGTGTATGCGGTGATACAGTCGTTTCGCCCACGTGTTATCATTGCACAAATTGGTGGAAATGATATTTGTAGAGTGATGATGAAACCAGAAGTGTTTGCGTGTGATTTGATAGAGTGGTTAGAAGCTTTGTTGAAGCAGTTTACTTTCCTTGACAGTGTTTTTATTTGTGAAGTTTTCATTCGCACCCGTCCCAGACACATAGATGCACAGACTTATGAAAGAAGGCGTACCATTATCAATCAGATGCTAAAGGACATGTGTGAAGTACATAGTTCTATTATGTATTGGAAACATCTAAGACTCATGCACAGCCCATTGCAGATTATTAGTGATGATGGGGTACACTTATCCAGAATTGGGAATAAAAAGTTTTACAGAAGTTTACGGCTAGCAATTATGCATGCTGTTCGTCGCCTGGCAAAAGATTAACAGGGATGTATATTTCCCATTTCAGTTATGATTCTCCTCCTCTTTATAAGCTTGTATTATGGTATATGCGTTTATATAATTGGAAGCGATTATTCAAAAAAAAAAAATGAAATAAATAAATAGAAGCAATGAATTTGCATTATGCTAATCTTGTATTTTGGTCAGCATTATCAACCTTAAAGCATGTATTGTGGCTTCAAACCAATTTTGACATTATCAGCCAGGAATCCTTGTCATAACATTATTCAAACATCATAAGCCTTGTAATTTGGTCTATCGCCATAGCAAAGCTATAAGCCATGTACTTTGGTTTATAATCGTATCAACCAGATTAACCATGTACTTGGTTTAATTTATTATCAGCACTTTAAGCCATATATTTGGTCTATTATATTATCAACTTTTTAAGCCATGTATTTTGGTTATTATACGATCAACTTTCTTAGCCATGTATTTTGGTTTATCGAATTATCAACTTTTAAGCCATGTATTTTGGCTTATCAAATTATCACTTTCAAGCCATGTATTTTGGTTTATTATATTGTTAACTGTTTAAGCCATGTATTTTGGTTCATTATATTATTGACTTTAAAGCCATGTATTTTGGTTTATTATCATATCAGTTAATCTGATAAGCTAGGTAATGACCATGAATTTTGGTTTAAGACTATGGCAACTGGTATAATGGTAGCATATGAACATTGATTTTAAGCCATGTATTTTGGCATAATATGAATCAAGGGTCATTTCATGGCCTAAGGCATACCAGTAAATTTAGACATATATTTTACAGTATTATATGGAGGCTGCAAAATGAGGAGGGCCCAAAGATCAAAGAACAAGGAGGAAAGGCCTGCAAAGAGGAGAAAAACGGGGACAGAAGAAGACCAAATGGTACTGGACATAACGCAAAACGTGACCGCAACAGTCCTTTCGGAGCTTCAAAAAGCAGGTATTTTGCCAAAGACTCCTACCACTGACTCTACTTCTCTGAGTGACAGTGCCAAATCTAGTTCCACAGACACATTGTCAGGAAAAACAACAACATCAAATGCCACAAAGGAAACCGTATCTAAGGAGACTCCAGTAGAGCAACCCCAAGAGGATGTTGTAGAGCTACCTGCCTCATCAATCTCAGGTTCACAAAAGAATTCTGCAATTTCAGATAGTTTTGATAATGACATGTATAAGCCACTAGGCAGGCCCTTATACACCAAGGTATCTACGAAAATCAAAGAAAAAATTTGTGCCAATGAATTTATTGAAATGTCAGATGTGTTAGATCCCCCTTCTGATATAGAGTTTTTAGATTTTCACTTAGCAGTAAAAAACAAAGGTAGAGTGGATCTGAGTTCAGGGAAGAAGAAGAAGTTTCTGACAATCGAAGCGTGGACTGATGCTTTTAGTATTTACGCTTCGGTTCTCAGACACTTCAACAATACTGAGGTTGATTTGCACGAGGATTTAGCCATCTATATGGATTTAATCAGATCATTACAGAAAGATGGGGGGGACTGGTATCACTATGACATTAATTTTCGAAAGGCAAAACAAGGGGACAGGTCCTTGTCATGGAGACACATAGATCAAGTTCTTTACAGTAGGGCCCTTATGAAAAAACTGGGAGGTTCCCAAGGTAGTATAGGTTCTTTTCGGAAGCAGCCCTTTCGTCAGTACTGCTTCAGGTTCAATGAAGGAAAATCATGCCACTCTGAATGCAAATTCCCTCACATCTGCGCAACTTGCTACAAAGACCACCCAAAATCTCAATGTTGGAAAAATAATGACAGAGCAAATTACAACAAAAGACAAACATACACAAAAACTAGCTCTTCCCAATCTGTTGATAAAAAAGATTAAACATCTTCCCACCCCCATCAGAATAAACAGATTAGAACATTATTTAGAAGGGTATGACAATACTAAAGCACAGTACTTGATAAATGGTTTCAAATACGGTTTCAGTCTAGAATTTACAGGGGAAAGGGGACATCAATTCAGTCCTAACCTCAAATCAGCATTAGAACACCCTGACATTGTTTCTGATAAAATTTCCAAGGAATTAAGTGCTGGTCGGATCAAGGGTCCCTTTAGTCAACCACCTTTTAATAATATGAAAATTTCCCCCTTAGGTATAGTTCCTAAAAAAACGCCAAATCAGTATCGGTTGATACACCATTTATCTTATCCTAATAGAAAAGAAGGCTCAGTAAACGCGGGAATAACGGATGAGGCAGCAGCTGTTCATTATTCTGGAATTAATGAGGCTATTTCACATATCAAGGCTATTGGGGAGGGTGCATTTTGTTGTAAAACAGACATAAGATCCGCTTTTCGCATTTTACCTGTTTCCCCGAATGATTATGAGTTATTAGGCTTTTATTGGGAAGACAATTATTATTATGACAGATGTTTACCAATGGGTTGCCGAACTAGCTGCAAAATTTTCGAAGAGTTTAGTACTGCCGTTGAGTGGATTGCAGTCCACAGATTAGGTGTTCGGGCGGTTGTTCACATACTAGATGATTTTCTTTTAATTGAAAAATCCAAGCCCTTAGCATTGAAAAAATTTAAAGAATTTCTTGAAATATGTGAAGATATAGGCATTCCGTTATCTGCAGATAAAACAGTTCTTCCTACTCAGGTCATTGAATTTGTCGGCATAACAATTGACATTAGACTTAAAGAGACCCGTTTGCCAAGTGACAAAATTGAAAAATGTATAGGCTTGTTGTCTAAGTTTCAAAACATAGATAAGTGTAGGGTAAAAGAAATGCAGTCACTTATTGGAGTCTTGAACTTTGCTTGCTCAGTCATACTACCAGGGAGGGCCTTTTTAAGACGTATGATAAATTTGCTTTTAGGAGTTTCAGAAGAGCAAAAATTCTTAACAGTTCATAGAGAGTGTAAGGAAGACATGGCTATGTGGCTTGCATTTCTTAGTAGTTATAATGGCAAAACTATGTTTTTAGAAGAACAATATTTATCAAGTAACTCCATGAAGTTGTTTACTGATGCGGCAAAATCCAAAGGTTTTTCAGGTATTTACAATTCTAGATGGTTTTTTGGTTCTTTCCCAGAGCAATGGAGAAATTTGAATATCATGACACTAGAATTCTATCCAATTGTGCTAGCAGTGTGTATTTGGGGAGATTTGTGGGCAAATCACTCGATCTTATTTTTTACGGATAATGAAGCATTAGTTTCTGTCATTAATAAACAGTCAAGTAAGGATAATAGGGTCATGCAGATGGTTAGATATCTTGTACTCACATGTTTGAAACATAATATCAATTTCCGCGCTAAGCATATACCGGGTAAGAATAATGTTCTAGCGGATAGTCTTTCTCGGTTGCAGGTACAAGAGTTTCTACATTTGGCACCAGATGCACGAAGGGAGCCGTCAGCAATTCCAGAGGAATTGATGCCAAACAACTTTTGGACAACATTGCAAAATTGGTCTCAGCTGCATTAGCCCCTTCTACAAAACTTACTTATAAAAGAGCATGGACAACATTTGATACATTTTCCGTGTCTTATAAAGTACCCAACAGTGTTCCATTCAGTATAACTACAGTGGCTCTTTTTGTGTCATATTTATTTCAAGAAGCCTTCTCTCCCAGAACAATATCAACATATTTGTCTGCAATAGCTTATGTTCATAAGATGTTGAACTTTGAAGATCCAACTCGTGCATTTGTCATTCAAAAGTTAGTGGCAGGGGCTTATCGACTAGGCAATACATTCGATATTCGTTTACCCATTACCACAAATATACTGAATCGTCTTCTTGACGTTATCCCAGATGTTATTAACGATAAGTATACACAAACGTTGTTTAAAGCGCTATTTCTGTTTGCATTTTCATCATTTGCTAGAATAGGCGAGCTGATATGTGCGGCCCCTGAGAAAGCTAGTGATGTAGTACAATTAGCAGATGTAACACTTTCCTCTGTTAAAGGTAAAATCACTGCTATAAATGTGTGTTTCAAAAAATTCAAACATAACTCTAATGGGGTACCAAAGGTCATCTCCTTTGCTCATGGTGATTGTAAAATTTCGGCTATATCAGCAACCACTGATTATTTGAAAGTTAGAACAAATTGCCAAGGTCCAATGTTTGTTTCCAATACAGGATCACCCATTCTGCGTACCACTTTTGACAGAACTTTGCGGAGTTGCTTACGCCTTTGTAATTTGGATAGTTAACGTTATAAGGGTCATAGTTTTCGTATCGGGGCTGCTACTGTAGCAGCAGATAAATTGTAATTGGTCTCAACCGGTTTTTTGCTTGCTACATTTTGGTTTTTGTACTAGCTTGAAATATATCAAGTCTTAATAAACAACAATTTCAACATATACAGTGAACCTTCAGATATCCGGACGCCAGATATCCGGATGCTTCAGTATCCGGACGATTTCTCATCGGAACGAAATTTTTAAATGTTATTTTGTCTTGTTTAACTGGTGATTCAGATATCCGGATGCTTCACATATCCGGACAAATTGACTGGGAACCAAAGCGTCCGGATAAATGAGGGTCCACTGTACATGTGTGTTAAGTTATAGTATTCTATGTTACTGTTCATTAATTTTTGCTGGAAAGAGGAAGCATAAATATCATTTATGACAGTAAATAATTTTATGCTGACGAATGATTTAATATTGCAAGTTGTGTTCATATTTGTGTTATGTTCAACATATATATTGTTTATATAGTAAGTTAGTTGTAACTGTAAACCCTTATAAGGACCTATGCAATTTTACCCCACTGGGAGCCTCAGGTTCAATGCTGCAATATGATTGGTTGAGAGTTAGCGTCGCTTTATAAAGTTTGTAAGACAGTAGCCATTTTTTGTGAGGAGGCTGAGAAAAAGTTTTTAAACCCTCCCACCTCTCCCAATTTTTATGAAAAGAATTTGAGCTATGAGCCTTTGGACCTCACCTTCTGCCACTTACAATGATTTTTCTAGTCATGGACCTCACCTTCTGCCACTTACAATGATTTTTCTAGTCATGTATGTTTGCATACAAGTATTTTGGAATATTGTAATTTTGATGTATTATACCACTTATTGTGTTTGCAATGGTTATAGTTACAAAACTTCTAATATACAGGTTTGTAAGTCTAGACTTGTACATTTTGCTAATGCCTGTAAATTGTAATTGGTCTCAACCGGTTTTTTGCTTGCTACATTTTGGTTTTTGTACTAGCTTGAAATATATCAAGTCTTAATAAACAACAATTTCAACATATACATGTGTATTAAGTTATAGTATTCTAGGTTACTGTTCATTAATTTTTGCTGGAAAGAGGAAGCATAAATAGATATTATATATTTATATACGTTTCAAAGGTTAGCAGTGGAGGTTTTCAGAAGTGTTTTTCGTGCTTAATAGAATTTTAAACTCTTTTAAAAGTAAAATAAAGTGTTAAAAATTATTTTTTTGTTGGATGCATATGTACATATCGCACAACTATTTATCAATCATCTTGCCGTCAAATGTTGCAAAGAGAAAATCGACAATGATGGCCGGAAGAAGAACACATGATGAGTTGGAAATTTAACTGGTTATTTGACAGAGGTCTCACCCATTAAGACTTCAGGTACTGACACGACAAGGTACCACAAATATAAACTTCTAGAACTGACATTAGAAGACTAGTTTCTCGCCCGAGAAACACGGTGAATACATGCGTACTTCGCAACAACTGACGCCAGTAAAGCTTTCAAATGTCAAACTCAGATAAGGAAGGAATGGTAATATTGAAATAATAACTAACAGGAACACGAACCTAAAAATTTCTACCTCAAAGTTGGTCTTTAAGAAACTAATCCTTTAAGTCAGCAAAGATTATGTAAATTAAACTTTTTCCAGTTTCAACTTCTTTCAGTACCAATTCTAATACTACATTTTCGGTACATCACTTAAAGTGAGGGGGCCAACTAGGCTTTCAATTAACATTTCCTATATAGAGTAAGTAAAGTTGGGAAAAAATGGGGACCCCCCCCCCCCCCGGTTGATACGCCCCTGTTAAGCAAACTTTAACTTTTACATAATTAGTATTATACTATGAAAAATAATTATCAAAGAGGTAGAGCCACTTTGTGCCATATTTGGCCCTGAGAATTTCTGAAAAATCAAAACCGATAAGTTTAGGTTGCAAATGCAGTATTTATAACTTTGAATGTTGGTGACCACGTATCTATTTATTGTGACGTAATTTTCCATCTAGTCAATGCATTATGACGTCATGAAATGCGTCATTTTCCTCATATGTAAATTCCCTTGAAAATGACCTAAAGTTGAAGTATTTTTTCAATATTTTATATAGAACACAACCTTCGATACAAAATATGCAAATACATTATGAAAGCTCTGCTTCTGAAGATTAAAAAACATGTTTTATTTTTTGGATCGTGGGCTGTGCTCATATTTTAATTCTTTACTAAAGATAGTCAAATACGCGTGTTTTCTGCAAATTTCAAGAACATTGCAACTTCTCAAACCTGTTTTCCAATATCTGCATTTTCAAAAATGAAATTTTATTACAGAAAATGAAAGCACCAAGTGTTTACTTTATTTTGATATATGAAATGGGAAAGAGGGTGATGGTAAATTAATTGATATATGTACAGGGCCATTTTATGCATAACTTGGCTCTACCTCTTTCTTTCAAAAGTTTACGTATAATTATTGTATTAATGGTAGATGAAGAGAAATTGAAATTCATCCTCAACATCCCCTGTGTTACATATAAAACAAATTCTTCTTTCTTTTAACAAAATAATCTGTGGTTATAGAAGAATGTCTTTCATTTTCTATGGCAAGGGTATGAGCACTTACTCTCGATCTGCTTATAATTGATCTTTGAGGTTGTAAACGTCACATTTTTTCTTTTGCCATTAACTTGTGTGTGCGGTTTTTGGTGTAAAACTTTGCGTTCATGTTTTCCAAGTTAATACTAATATCTTGTTTATCATTTCTACCAAAGAATCAAGTACATCACGTTGGAAACAATAAGTATATCTTGCTGGCGTTTTCGATTTTCTAGTGTCCGCCGTGATTGTTGGGGAAGGTGACACGGTCTCAAATGGAAAAATAATTTGCTTTTTTCACAGTTTTGATATATAGAATACTCCAACAACTGCAAAATACTTACTGCATGACAATTTCACAAAATAATTATATTTTCAGCTTACAAAAGTCCAAAAATGTCATTTATCCCTCCCCCCCCCCAAAAAAAAGCAGAGAGTTGATTTTCCACGTGCTACTTCTTTCGAACCGGATCGGGATTATGCTTGAACAACTCGGTTCATCTTATCACATGTATAGAATACCTGTACAAAATACATATGGTACAATCTACATTAGATACATCATAATCAATCTAAGTCTCCAAAGACAAGACTCTCAAATACTCAAACACCGGGCATCCGCGTATATTTTCAAACCATCCACCAGCCTCTGTACTAATTTTAGGGCCATGAGCATTTTGCTTTGGAATTAAGAAGTTAGAGGGTAATTTTAAATGGAACACCCTAAAAAACTCATGTCCAGTGTCGCAAAAGATCTCGACTCAAAAAAGATTCCCCACTACTTTATGACAAAAAACTTTATGCTGAGTACATCTAAGTTTGAAGTAATGGGGAAATGTTCAAATGTCCCAAAATCTCGAAGGGATTAAAAGCAAATGCTCTTCAAGAGCATAATAAAAGAAAAATACACTGGACGTCTCAGGAAGCTGAATCACGATTTTAAAACTATTTGTAAGGAGTATGTAAACAATTTTTAATTGAACCAAACCGAATCTACAAATGATAAAAAAATGCTGTATTAAATATCATAGCATCGTCTCAAGCCACGGTCCGGAGTCCGCTTATATAGCTCTTTCCTACCCGTGGCTGTTTGATCACAAAAAAAGTCGTTGTCTTGAATATTCACGCGTCTCTATTGTGACGTCATATTCAGTCAGTGGAAAGTTTTGTCTCCATTGCAATCGAAATCAACAACTGACGTCAACAGTATACAAGAAACATTTCCTATACTGCGAATGGATATTGAAAGGTAGCGATAAAGTTTATCATCCGACTATGCTTTAATCGCATTGGTCAATATTTTAATGAGCTACGAAGAATTCTCTCCTCGTTGAACCACGGTCAAATGGGAGAGGAGCGTACATGTTGGCCGTGGTTTGCGACGATGATATCATAGTAACGAATACTAACCCATAAATAAATGTATGAAGAATGGACATCTAATTTATATTTATCAGGATGAATATGCAGACATATTTACAACCCTTATAGTTTCATAATGGCAAATAGTAAACATAGGAACATAGATGAACTGGCCTGGGGGCCATAAAACTTAACATGAATTCACATTTGATTTCACGTTTACCAAAGGAATGTTTAGGTTAGTAGATCAAAATTTAAATAAGATTAAATGCAGTGAAATTAAATATCCTTTCACTAGGTGCTCATCTGTTCATGAGGCAGCCCATACCATGTATATCGTACATTAAATTCAACAGAAAAGTTTGTTGTTGAACGTCCCTTTTGAAAATTTATTCATTTATACAGAGATGCCAAGACACCTCCGAAACACTCTTAATTAGTCATGGTAAATTCTATTATCAAAATTTTTCAAGAGTAGGATGGATATGGAAATAACGAACAGTATTCAATCTCAACGTTCATTTAAAAAATATACAAAATAAGAGCAGGAAGTTGACGATAGAAAAGTTAAAGTCATCACGTTTATCATATAGCTTGGTTGTGAAATACCATTAGTGTCTTTTTCAAGTAGAATATCCAAGTATGAAGCAGAAGTGTCGGACTCTGTGGTATATTTTATCTCAAGCTCACCAGGATATATCGTGTCGCTGTAGGAATGGAAATTATCATTATTAATTGACAATACGTCGTCGATATATCTAATTGTCGAGTTGAAGGCCACAGCAAGTGTTTTCTTCTTTCCACGCAAAAGATTTTGCATAAATTCTGCTTCATATGAATATAAAAAAAGGATATGGAAATAACGAACAGTATTCAATCTCAACGTCCATTAAACAAATATACAAAATAAGAGCAGAGCAAACAAGGACCTCCGAAACATCAGAGGCAGGATCAGGTGCCATGGAGGTGTGAGCATCCCCTGCCGACCGGTCACATCCGCCGTGTGCTCGTTGTCATAATCAGAAAATAACGGGAAAAAATCCGTGGTCAAT